ATGTATATGTATATATTATATATATATATATATATATGTATTGTGTGTGTGTGTGTATTTAACCAGCATTTTTTCATTGATGCATGTTTCAATAAATAATATAGAAAAGTGATGTCTATTTATTTTATGTAAATTCTTTTCATATCCTCTGATAAGCTAAATAACATTATCATTAAACGAAGAAAGAAAATCACAATATGGATACATATTTTTTAATCCTATCTAAGCTTTCGGCTTACATAAGCCATTATTAAAGATGGCAATTACAGTACAATATATTAAGCAATACACGCACAAATCAGTGATGATAGTCTGTTTCTGTTTACATGGCAGATTTCCAAGGAACGACAAACTCGTGCATATAAGACGCTTGACTATATTATTTAATGAAATATATATATATATATATATATATATATATATATATATATATATATATATATATATATATATATCCTCGACTCTCCCGTCGAGATTCGACGTATGAGGGTCAAGCAGATCAGTTCCCAGGAAGCCGACAACCCGACAACGGCACATAAGATTTGATTATAGTGGTGAAGGTTTCGTGCAGGACCATCCACACTTTTTGAAGGGCCGAATACAGAGACCTAGTGCACTACGTGCCACAAGGTCCCCAAACGACCCTCCGCAGGTTTTGAATTCAGAGTTGTCCTTCTCCTAGACCAGTTGCCATCCAAGGCTATAGAACTCAGTCTGTCCTGCTATTTACCTATAGCTGGAGGGAGAAGAAGAGGATTCCCACCTTTCCCAAGGGTATTAGCATGTAAGTGAATGTAACTGGAATCGACTAGTATTCGAACTCGGCTCTCCGATTCCTCAATCCAAGCCTATCCATTACTCCACCATTATTTATTTATTTATTTATTTATTCATATATATATATATATATATATATATATATATATATATATATATATATATATATATATATATATATATATATATATAGGCGATGGGTAAGTTGTCGGCATTTTATATTTTAGATTAGCGCATGCGCGCGTAGTTTGTTTCTGATTTCGTCGACTGCACTGTATGGTTGGGTCCCCTCTGTGAGAAAAAGAGCGACATGACGCAATTCAGCCCACCAGGAATTGGGAAAAGACATGCTGTACTGCTTGGCATTCGCGCTGGAAGCTCCAATACGAACATTTCAGAGCATCTGAAGGACAGTGCAAAGGATTTGGAAAGAGTCGGATGAGTCTAATGGTGATTACGAAGGTATGGCAGCTCGGAAAACTAACTCTGATCTTTCTGATGAGAATAGAACTCCCGAATATTTTGGTGACGGCCTCAGACTCAACGGGGAACCCTATATCAAGTGCCTTGAGGAGGTAGTGCTGCCCTGGGTCAAAAAGGTGGCTGCTGGAAGACCCTACGTCTAGCAACAAGACTCTATGCCATACCACACAGGCAGGAGAACCCAGACATGGCTGTCAAACAATTTCTGCGACCACATCACACCTTACATCTGACCGCCTAAATCCACAGACTACATACCCATTGATGTGTGGAGCGCAGTTGAGTGAGAAAGCAACAAAACTCTTTGAAACACCAAAGATGACCTTAAGGCGAGGATTATGCCAGCATTCACCAAGGAGATCATCCAGAAGATTTGCAAAAGTTTCCGAAGTCGCCTGGAGGCCATCGTTAAAGCCAATGGCGATTTTATTGAATAAATTGACTTTTCAAGATATTTTTGTGTAATTTTGATAAATATATCTGTTAAAATGAATTTGAATTTTTACGTGATTTAGACGACAATTTATCCATCGCACCATACACACACACACACACACACACACACACACACACACACACACACACATATATATATATATATATATATCATTCTCTTTATGTTCTTATGGACTAAAGATTTAGCCATAAATTTAGCATAACATGAATAAAACTATATTATCTCATATATATATATATATATATATATATATATATATATAAATGGTTCAAACACTAATATTCCATGGTTATAATTTATTACATTGGAATCGTAATCACGATCCAATTTCTTTTTGAATTTGTAGGTCTGATGATTTGGATCGTAATTTTGAGCCTTTTATATTATATTCTTACTCTGTCCTGGACATTGAGTTCTACCTGGATTCTATCCTCTTGGGAATTTATATATATATATATATATATATATATATTGACCACTAATATCATATATATATATGTGTGTGTGTGTGTGTGTGTGTGTGTGTGTGTGTGTGTGTGTGTGTGTGTGTGTGTATAGTAATTCGTCGGGGCTAAAAGAATCGTCAACAGAATACAGAAAGCACTGGACGACCGTTTCATTCTATTTGGAACTCATCAGGAGTGCGCATCGACTACCGAGAATCGAAAGCAGACCGTTTCGATACAACGCAAACGTCATACCAACTGCATCCACCTGTAAAAAAAGATTAAAAATAATGGAAGCTTTAATAATAAAAAAGAAAAAGCCAACTCTTAACAATAT